AAGGGCCCCCACAATGAAGGCCTGTCCAAAATCAGGCTCAAAGAAGAAGAAATTCAAGTCTTTTAATTCCATAAATAGAAAGATGCATAAAAAAAACACGACAAGCGCTACAGATACAGACCGAGCATGTGGCCTTATCACGTTGTGGATCGCTGAAATATCGACGTGTAGCATCTGAACGTTCAAGGTAAAGTTCTTTCACTGGACGAGACTGTGGAGCGGAGCGAAGCGAAAGACAGCAAGAAAAGCATGGAGCACAGATTGTGTTGTGTGCATTTGACAAAGAGAAGCTCTTATCAGCCTCCTTGCTGGCTGAGGCGCCTGGCGGGGGTGATGGGCACTAGAAAGTAGCTGAAATATGCTCATACAGCTCAAATATGAAGTGAGCTGCCACCAGCGTTAATTCTGCGAGCTGAGGAAGGTGAAACAAGCATGTACTGTACGTTTTGATTTCTCTCACCGCGTTGATGAAAGCTGTAAATGATTATTTCTGCAAGAACAACAACTGAAGCTGCTTGAATTTAACACCTGTAGTTTGAAAAAAAAAGTAGCACCACGCAACAAGCTTCCACCTCCCATTGAATTCAACCTTTACAAGTGTTCTAAGACATGAACTCGCACCATTTTTTTTTTTCTTTTCAACTCAAGCAAGGCTGAGGTTGCAATCCACAGTGCAGGAGCCACTTGTGCCGGAGCAAGATGCTCTGCAGTTCGTGTGAATTCTGTCTGACCATGTAGGTGTGTGGCTTTCTTTCGGTAAAGCGGCCGAATGTGTGGGTGAGTGGTGCAATATGTACTTAAAGACGAAACAAAACCGTGGCTAACCCCAGAAATTGCCACGACAGATGAATCAAGAAGGAGGAGGAGGAGGAGGAGGAGGAAGAGGAGGAAGAGGGGGGGAAAAGCAACAAAAAAAAAAGAAGCATCTGTCTGTATAGAATTACATCTCCTCTGATTTCCCCCCCTTCAGTTCTGCTGTGTTTGTTTATCGGCCAGTAGAGAACCTCGGCTCTGTGCAGTCATGGCATCAGACTTGCACTGGGGCAGACCCTGCTTCGCTCACTGTGCCCTGGGAGCAACTTGGCAGGATCAGTGTCTCTGTGGCTGCATACAAAAAGGCCTGATGGACGCTCGTGCCCTTGAGTGGAGATCATTTGAGCTCTCCACTGGATCGCTAATCCTAACGCGCTGTACTGTATTCCGTGCTCGCACACAGTATGGTGAATGGACGCTTGTTTAAGGTGTGGATGAGTTGAATGAACGCCGAGGAAGCTCTGTTTGATTTATGAGGACGCGGGGGTTTAGCCTAACTCCATTTTGGAGACTCTTAGGGCAAAGAAAGCAGCAGTCGTAAGCTTCTCGTCCTCGTGTGCACGCACAATAACGCGCACATTCAGGAGGTATAAATATTCATAGACAGTATATTGAACCTTAAGAACAGCTGGCAGCAAACGTGAGTGCTGAAAACCCATTCCAGGCAAGAGGATGTTCATGTTGGACCATGTAGCCATACATGAAGCCAATAATGTGCACACGGGGCTGCTGACTTTGACTACATCTTGTCAAATGTATAATTCATTAGAAGAAGCACTAACTAGGGAAGCCTCGAAAGTGCTGAAGAAGAGGGCAGGAGGTAAGCTACCGAGTAGAGAGCAAAGGGAGGGGAGAGGAGGTAAAACGAGATAAAGGAAAGATGAGGCTGGAAGAGAGGGGCCGAGCGAGGGGGATTACAGAGGTGAAGGAGGCAGAGAGGACAAAAAAAAAATAGTGGGACTGGAAATGTGAGAGCAGAGGAGTGGAACGAGGGCGACAACGAGGGAAGAGGAGTGATAATCAAAGGAATGTAAGACAAGCTAAGAAGGGCTAAGGCAGCAGAAAGGAGGCAGCGTAAACGTGTCCTCCTTTCCCCGCACGAGGAAGGATTTGATTTTTATTGCAATCATTTCCTCTAAGAGAGAATTAACATTAGCCGCTTTTAGCTTAAATCTCTTTGACTGTGTGTACACCATCTTTGTTCTTGCCTCTGAAATATCAAACCATCCTTCTCTGACTCAGTGCCATACAGGGAGGGAGAGTCAAAGGTATTGTCAGGCTTGCAGCCAAATATAAATCCTGTGACGTCTCCTCGAGCTGATATGCTCTAATATTCCAGTTCTAAACGTTATGTAATGGCACTTCTGTATGATTCACTGGTATCATATGTTGCAATTTATTGTGTTTTTTTTTTTTCTTTTTTCTTAGATGTTAGTGTAGGAAGGAGCAGAAAAAAAAAAATTACATAAGCTGTTAAAAAGTCCAATCCAACACTCGGGAGGATCTGGTGCTTAGTGGGAATCATTTCCTGGTCGTCTGTTTTTATAAATTAGCCGCATTTACAAGCAGTTATGGAGCAGCTTCTTCTCTATATCACAAGAAATTTGTTGGAGTTAGATTTGCCAAAAAGACGATGTTTGATTTTTTTTAAAGATCGGTGTCATCACCGCGTAAAGACAAAACAAATATCGGAGGGGTTTTCTGGAGGCTTTCGGAGACAGAAGGCTATCTTACTTGCGATTTTTATCCAAGCCAAATGTTGGAAATTCTCAAGGGTAGGCAGATGTGTGAAGATAACACTGGCATTATGAAAGAAAGGGAAATACTTTTACAATTTCACCTCAAGAATAAGAAACTATTCTGTCTTACAAATGGGCTCGCTTTGAGTCGTCTGTATTTCCCCTCACGAAATCGCGCCGCAGCTATTACTATCCAAAAAAAAGAAGGCCTATTTTTATATCTCTCTGGAAATTTAGGGTGAATTTCCTCACCAAAATACTCAGTCGCTCGCTGGTGATGCCATTCAAAGACAAGCTTGCGTTTTGTGTTGTGTTGCTAATATTTCTGCTAAAAATCAGCCCCGAGCAGAGTGCTGCTTTAGCTCAACTTGGTGTAGCTCCATACAGTGTTATCAGATATTTGTCACTCACTGGCTCACTGTGGCTTCACCCACACAGCAAAAAAAACTTGGTGCACAGACCTGCAGGGAAGCAACATTGTTCACATAACCTGTTAAGCAGTATGTGGGTGTCATGGAAGAGCTCACACAGGGAGCTGCTCACCCATCATCTGCTACATGATGGCAAGCCACACTCCTCACCTGCAATGCAGCCAGCCTCCATTAAAGTTTAATAACTCACATTTAAAGGAATACGCCGAGTTTTTTGTAGAAAACAGATTCGAGTGAACTTGCACGGCGGAAAGAATCTCCAGCGAATACCAAAAGGTTGAGCTCGTTTTGTCGAGTGGAACCGTCATTGTTTCAAGTTACACGTAGGCACCGCTCCAATACGGAACCGCTCGTTTCATTGGCCGCTCGAAGATCCGCTCGGCTGATCCGTCAGTGCGTCCCTTTACGCACTTTTGTGCACTGACTTACCCCAGTATAAACTGACCATCTGTCTCACAAGTTCTTGGCAAAAGTGTGGTTTTCTTTGCCAGCTTTACAGTAAGTCTTTTCTCACTTTGATAGCGATGCAGGACAAGTTTGGTGAAATATCCACCGCTACCAACTGCGATCTTTCACTTATAGTTGGTTGTTCTTTCTTCTTTTGTTCAATCTAGCTCAGTGAGTCATACTCAGGCTAAATAAGATGCATGAGGGACTGATGTTTCAGGGTTGCCTAGACATACCTTGACATTTTCTTCTGTTTTTTTACCACAAAGCATTTGTCACACTGCTTCGTGATAGGTTTTCAGAACCAGCAGGTCCTCATCAGTCAACTCATTGGGGGGAAAGTGTCAAGTCATGTGAAATTATTTATTCTTATTTATATGTCACAGACTAAAAAATGTACTTTAAACATCCACTGTGCTCCTCTCTCCTCATATGACTGCACCTACTTATCTATGTTTAACTGACGAATGATCTCTGTTGCCACAGAAACCGAGAGCTTCATAAGCAAATGAATGTGCCACAGTTAAGCACAAATTTACGTAATACATCTGAAAGCACCAGCTGCACTCACGTCTGCTCCACAAACACCAAATAAGTCCAAATAAAAAATGTCTAAATCCTCACCACCTTCACTGTAGGAGTTGCTTTGTGAGCGTGTGTGTGTGTGTGTGTGTGCTTGTGTGTATTTCCCATTTCTTTTTTTTTCATCACTTCCTGCCAGAAACTCCATTCAGGTGCAAGATGCTACAGTACATTGTTCACCTGCTTTTGAATCCGTGCGTGCCTGCGAGCGTGTCCACCAGGATTCATTCGAAGGTCTGGAAGAGATTGAAGCCGTCTGAACAAACAGGCTCCGACCCCCAGAGTGTGTCCTGAGCCAGACTACATTAAAGCCATTTTCAATTTTCTCTATATTAGCCAATTTCATGTCTAGCGCTGCCTCGGCGGAGCAGCGGCGCTCCTGCCGCCGAGCCACATGTGTGAGATGTAACACGTCGCTCATCGCCAGCGTGCGAGAGGCAGATGTTGTGCAGGTGCACGGCGGGTAACCGGAACGTGTGTCGAGGTTAAGAGAAAACAGCTGGAAATACGAGGGTATTAGCATGCAGAGTGCCCTCCCATGGTCTCTCCCTGACATGTTCTGCGGCTCACAAAGCCCCGCGCTGGCTACCCGAACGCCGGTTCTCTCCCGCTTTTTTTTACTACATCCACGCAGGTCAGCCAGCCCCCTGTTTATACACTCACAAAGCATGACACAGAGTAGGAGATGCAGAGAGAGAGTGGGAGAGAGGGTCATCCAGAGAGGGAGATATCAAACCAGCATTCAGTCTCCACACCACTCAGTCAGCTCAGCTCACCCCTGTGGTTTTTCATTTTTTTTCCCCTGAAATGTTCAAATCGCAAAAAAAAAATAATAGAGAAACATTTTTGCTGAAAAAAAAAATGACATGCAGATGACATAGTTGTGTAATTGAGAGATGACAGCTTCCTTCTCTGTGGTACAGTTGTGGCAGCAGCCTCACTCTCTTTCACACACACACACAGAGTAATGAACAACAGATAGGCTTACCTTTGTAGTCACAATGCAGAGGCAGTCCATGGTACTTAGAACAAAATATTGGGGTGTATCTCAACCCCCCCAACCCCCCACGACAGAGGGCTGAGACCCCACACCCCTCTCCCCAGCCTGCCCCACTCCTGCGCTCTCACTCTCGTCCTGCCTTTCCCCCCTTTTCTCTCCTTCCGTGAGTCTCTTCTTTGACTAACTGAACCAGCGAGGGAAAGAGAGGATGGAGGGAGGGGGAAACATGAAAAGGGAGGGGGAGGGCCACAGGGAAATAGAGAGAGTGAGCAAAGAAAAGAGAGAGGAGAGGAGAGAGGGTGGTCTCGGAATTTAGCATGAGAGAAAGAGTGGAAATGAAGGAGAAGGTGAGCGTTTTTTTTTTCTCCTCTCTCTCTCTTTCTCTCTCCGAGGCGACAAAGGAATGGTGGAAAAAAAAAAAAAAAAAAGAGTAAAAGATGGGGTGAATGTGAAAAAGAGATGGAGGAAGAAGGGGAGGATGGAGATGGAAAGCAGAGGTTGTGGGATTAACACACACACACACACACAGAAAAAAAAATGGGGAATGGTGGTGGTGGGGGGGTTCACACTGTGGAAAGAAAAGGGAAAAAAAAGAGAAACAGAGAATAAGACAGCAAAACAGCAGAGGATGGAGAGGAAGAACTGAGGGAGGGGACAGTGAAGGAGAGAGAAAAAGGAGAGGGAGAGTGGGTGAGTGCATGAGCGTGCACGTACGTGCGCGCACGCGTGTGTGAAGACAGAAGGAATTAGACCGAAAGAAAATGTGTTGAGGAGGAGAGTGTGAATTACATATGCATCACAGAAAAAGAAGGCACGAAGCACCGCGAGAGCCACTTCAAGAAGCCCGAATCACATGAAACAGGAGTTTTTGTGTTAACCGGATGGAATAATGAGACTGAAAATACATCAAGGTTTTTCTGCTTGTTGTAGCACTCTGCAGCTGTTGCCTTAGCAATGGTGCAGTTGTTGCCATGGCAATAGGGAGGCTTGTTGTTGTCATATGGTCACCCTTGTAGTGCTGAGGACTGAGTGAGGAACTCTGTGCAGGACGGACACACCTGGACGTGGACTTGCACATCTGCGCGTGCGGTTGCGTTTCTATCGAGTAACTTGAGGGCAGAGAACCATGAAGGACGGTCAGATTTAAATAAGTAATCACCAGAAATCATCTCCTGGATCAGCTGAACATTAAGTTTGACTAAATATAGACATTATCCACCATGTGTGATTTTTTTGGAAACTTTGAGAGACCATTCCCCTTCGTATTTATAATTGGATTTCCGCTGTGTTTTAACATCACATTCTGTAGTTTGACTGAGGTGGTGTAAAAATGTAAGTCCTCCTCTTAGTACACTCTGCCTTTAAGACTGTGGACTGTACCACTTGGGGTTATGTAAGGGGGAATGTGTGCTTTAGTGTCTTTACATCATCAGTTCTATAATTGTACAAATCCACCCCTCACCCCACCTCGTCCCCACTTTCCAGCTCCCCACAAAGCCAGAGCAATGGTGCAGCAATAAAGCAATTCTAAATGATGAACACACATTTGTTCCCCCGGGGTGAAAAGTAGAGGCTTTGATTGAAATGTACAGTGCAAGAAACAAACACAAGAGACACTTACAGCCACAGATGGCCACATCCTTCAGATGGCCACCGTTATAATTACACTCCCAGTCATGCTTTCACACATGTCAAGCTGTGTAATCAAACGCAAAAGACAGACAACCTTATTTACTCCACTTCTACTCCGCTAAATACCTGTTAGTGTACGCTCGTAGCGAACGTACAGACGGAACTTGTTAGAAGCCAGACAGCAGATTAATGTGACTGAGCTTTAATGAGGAAGCCAGAAGAGATTCCAGCAGAGGTAGTTAAAGTAATATTTCACATTATCCTCATATAACATTTAATAACTCCCACTAGCCTTGTATAACTTCCTTCTATTATGTATTTAAAGACCCCCTCCAGTGAAAATAATTTTTTTTAGGACTTGTTAACATGTCCATATGGTGGGTTTTATACGCCAAAAGACACATCATGAGCAAAATAAGCAGTCAAAACCACGGCGGAGTATTTCCCAGCTTGAAACTGCAGCGTGCTAATGACAGACTTAGAAATCTGGAATTAGTCTTTCACTGTTTCATATTTCAGTTCTGTCAACTTTTAGTATTATTTATCTTCTTCGGTGGTTTCTGGTGGATGCCTGAATTTTACAACCTGCCACTGTGTAGCACAGAGAAACTGAACATAGGTGAGCTGGTGTGCTCGATCTGCAGCGACAGACGGTGGAAAGTCACAGATTCTAGAGCAGAGGTGCCCAATCCTGGTCCTCGAGAGCCCCTATCCAACATGTTTTAGATGTTTCCCTCTTCCAACACACCTGATTCACATGATCAGGATCGTTATCAGGCTTCTGCAGAGCTTAAAGGTGAGCTGATCATTTGAATCAGGTGTGTTGGAAGAGGGAAACATCTAAAACATGCTGGATAGGGGCCCTCGAGGACCAGGATTGGGCACCCCTGCTCTAGAGGAAGCAACAGTGTAGAGTTACATCTAACCTGAGATATGAAGAGATTATTTTCATGGAAAAAACTTCTAATGTGTGATACACAGAGATGAGTTTTTAGAGGAATAATCAATGACCACAGAGGGACTAAAAGACTAAAAGACTGCAACTACAGTTTTTGTTATTTATTTTTCTGACTGATCTTTTAAGAGAGTATTTTGTCAATTTTCCATTATAAATAGAGAGAAAAAATAACAGCTCTGATACCACAGAATCAAGGACCAGATGATATCACTGGAAATAAGGGTTTAGACTGTGAATATCTCATGTTTTTAGTAAAATAGCATTTTAACACGTGATTAGGAGTCATGTTCAATACTCAGCGGCAGTCGAAAAAGGCTCAACTTCACAGATATTGTTTCAGAACTTGTACTTCTGTCTGTGGTGTACAGTAAGGATCAGTGTTGTTTTCTGATTACTTAGTTAATTTTTACTGTATAACACAATCAGTTTTATTACAGTTTAACATGACGTGAAGAGTTCAGAAACAGACAACTCCATTTTTGTAGCTTTTCAGAAAACTTATTTTTGTGTTGTTTGCTTGAGATAATATCAATCAAACTGAAGTTGAGCGGATTTGACTCAGTATGAATGACATGACAAACATGGAGATAACTTAAGTTTGATTGATATCGTCTCAACTAGACGATAGAAAAGTGGGTTTTCTAGTGAAGATGGAGTTATCTGTTTTTGAAAATGAACTCTTCATGTGTTGAACCACAGCCAATAATCATCTTTACTCCGAGTTGCACAAACGCTCGTCAGATCAGCCAAACCAACACACTGGATGGCACCAACTGACTGCAGGTAAATATCTCTGCCGATAAGGAACAAGAAATTGCAGGACAAATGCAAATCAGTATCTCTGCTAAAGGTTAGATTATTATCAGAAATGCAAGTAGTTTTCTTCCTGTTTTTTATTTATTTTTTATTTTGCCTCACCAACCAAAGCAAACTACGGAATTTTTGTTATCATATCGGAGAGAAAAAACCAGGCTTTAGAGAATCTGCTTGCTTGTTTTCACTGGAAGTGTTGGGGGGATGAAATGCTCAGGCCTTGTTTAGTGAACAAATGAACTTCTATTCTCGAGTTTATCTCAGGTTAATACGAGGCTTCAGCAGTCTCAGTTAATTAAATTCTCTTCCAGATTCAGCCTATGTGTTTCCCCAGACGGCGTTTCTTTGCTGAACTGCGATGAGGGACAGTGAAACATGGAGGGAATTCAGTGCTTAAGAGAAGGAAGCGACTGGCTTGATTTGTTTTTTAACACAGAACAAAGTGGCGTTTGTCATTTTCACAGAAAATACACTAAAGCAGGGGTTTTCCCGCATTGAGATATTTTTGGCATCCCCCAAAGAGATTTTGGCCGGCGCCAAAGGAAAATCACCAGCACCAAAATGATAACAAGAAATTATCTTCTAACCAGCTTTGTGAACTGGGATTTCATTTATTCAGGCGTAATAGACATTTTTGGTCAAATGTCACAAAAAAATGCATCGATTTGTGTCAGGTAGGGTAACACAGGCTCATTGTCTTTCCTGTCTGCATACCTTCATGTTTACTCTGGTGTAGTCACCCCCCAAAGACCCATTCTGAGCAGGAAAACTGCAGTCAAGTGTTAGAAAAGCAACAAAATAAGCTTTTCAATTTACGTATGGCCATTTAAATCTGTCTGTTCAAAATGTTGTTAATTAATTTTTGGAGTATTGACTAAATTGAAAAATAACTTCAGAACTTTCATAAAATCCAACAAAATCAATTAGCTCTCCCGTAGTCTGCTCATCACTCTGCACAATGCCGTTATTGTGTATTGTAGTAGCCTCCTGTGCTCTGTTGTACGAAACTAGTTTTGACTGAGCGCCAGCAATGACTTTATAAATCACCTGAAAATGTCACAGATAATTATTTCCACTTATCACATCCGTGATGATGCGGGGTTTCTGTTTTTCATTTAATTGTTCATTTGTACGGCGGTACTTGTTGTGCCCTCAGCCTTGATAGCTGACTTGCGTTGATTTTTACAGCCTCCTCTCCCATTTTAAACAAATAAACTCGACTGCCGTTCGGTACACAAAGGTAAAAATAAAATTAACTTTATTGTTTTTTTTTTTTTTCCTGTACGATGGTGAACGCGTTTGCTGCGTATTTAAGAAAAAAGGAATTCCGAAAACATGCCATGCCTGTGTAAATATTTCAGTGGGAAAACACATCATGTGTATGTGGATGCATTAGTAATTAATGTAAGAGTGTAGCAGCATGTGCATGAGGTAATCAAGTGACTATGGCAGCTGGTAATGTACATTTTCAAACGTACGTGGCCAATATGAGAATTCCCGCATGTGACAGGGGATGAGTTATGAGCCACATACTGTACGTAGCACACGTTTCCTCACAGAAGATGATCCTAATATGGCTGACCTGTATACAAGATTACATAATTCAGCTCTCGAGTCAGCAT